TGACGCGGAGGCAGAGAGAGGTGCGCTCGACGAGCTCGCCGCGGAGCTGTTTGTCAAACCGCGCGGCAGAAACGATGGACGCTGAGGAGCCTGCATCGAGATGGTAGATGGTGCCAAGATGTGGCCCGCAAATTTTGATCGACTGACCCCGCATTCTGACGTAGGGCTGCGGGACTCTAAGAGGGCACTCAATGTACAGATAAAAGAGGGCATGCATTGAGAGATTTCTATAATACAATTTGGACTTGCATTAACCTTCCGGGTAAAGTAAAAAGTGCGCGATTAGAGAGAGAATGATGTGGTTCCATAAAAGAGAGAATATGCTGGATATACTTCAACTTTCCCAAGAAGGCAGGCCACTCCGCCTGCGTAGCGAGCCCTGGCGCGAGTCCGAGAACGGCGTCGGATCTTCCTGCTCGGCGGCACCACGCGCGCGGCCCCAGCTCAAGCTGACACTCCACCGCCCAGACCCACTGGACAATGCGTCAGCCGGGAGCGGTGGAACAGGCGGGATGGGCTCTGCTTGCTGTGCACCACGCTCTAAACACATGCGCAGACTGCGGATGGACCGACTTCGTTCGATGGGACCAGCTCGAGAAGGCACGAGAATCCGCGCCAGAGTAATCTCATCTTCGCCCTCAGACGAGACGTCGCTCGTCGACTCCAGATCGCGCGGCTCGCGCCGTCGAGGAGGAGATAGAAGCTGGGCACTGACTGCAGTAGCATCGACGCCCCAGCCGCTGAGAAACCGTGAGCGCGAATCCTCATCTGAATCCGGTAACTCGAAATGCCCTTCCAGGTCAAGCCGAGCCTCGGTCGCTCGGCCTTTCCCCTTCTCCCTCCGCACAGGCGAGGAACCTCGGCTACGACAGACCACGCGCCCGACGCTGACCTGACTCTCGCTTCGGCGTGCCCGTCCGCTGGTCAATCGCGCCGTAAGCAGTGGCGGTGCAAGGCTACCATTGCGGTCGTTTGTTCGGCCTCGCGCAGAGACGCTACGCTCTAATCTGACGGGCGAGCCGGATATAGGTGGCAGCGGGGTCCCGAAGTACTCCCGCGCGCGCTTCACGTTGTCCATCCAATTCGAAGGCATGCGCGGGGGACGCGCCGGGTTCGGCGTTTCCTCGGCCGCGTTGTCCACAATCCGAGTGAAACCCGGCGGGGTGCTCTGCGGTCGCTCATAGGATGTCATGTGGCGCAGGTATGCCGAAGCTCTCGTCGGAGTCGGAAGATGCACAGGTGGTGGGGAGGCGGTGCCACTCCCGGAGTTGGAGGAAGATGGGAGATGCTGATAGTACCGGTTGACAGTTCGCTGCGGCGCTGGATGATGCACGCCATCACCTTGCGATAGTGGAGATACAACGGCGGACTCCACAGTGCGTTGGCGGTGAACCTGCAAATCGGCGTAACTTCGCCGGAGGGTCATTGTGCCCGGAACGCCGTCGCCGCCGTTATCATTCCGTCGGGAGGAGCGAAGACTGGGGCTGCTGGCCCGAGGTCCGATAACGGGAACATGGCTGTTCCGCCGAGGATGATGGGATGCGGAAGTCGAGCTCGGAGTGGCATCAATCGTGGGAGTGCGACCCTGCAATGGCGATTTGGGTGGTGAATAAGCAGGTGTGACCGACTCAGATTCCGATTCGTCCCCTCTCCGCACGCTGGAAGAACGGCTGGGCACCAAATTCGAAAGGAATCCGACGACAGTCGCACCCAACGTCGGACTTTTGGTGTCGTCTGGGGGAGCCGTGCGTTCCGTTTCTGGAGTGAATATTCGTGTTTCCTTGTATCCGGCTTCACGTAAAAGATCTTCAAGACGCTCGTAGGTCTTGGATGTCCCTCGGCGATGCAAAGGCACGCGTCCGATTGATTCTGGGTATAGTTTGCGCGTGCGACCGCGAGCATTGGATCTGGGTGGTGGGGTTGAGGGCTCTGCAGAGGAACTCGCCGAGTTTGAATGTGATGATGAGAGAGAGGGTGGGGAAGGAGAGTTGAGGCGAGACGGGGACGGTGGGGTTGGATGGATATTGTAACTCGTCTGACAGATTGCTGTCAAATTTGACTGGAGCAGGAGGACTGCGAAGACAGACCTTGTCGTGGACAGATACCTGAGGGCGTGCCATAGCTTTGGCGGCGGCGGCGTTCTTCGGGGTCCTTATAATGTGAGACTAGATGGCAACCGAGCACTTGCCCACTGTGGCCCGATCGCGGACAGCACGTGTAGTTGATATCAATGCCACTCGGTGTTTGCCTCTTGTATCATCCGGACGCGCTCTTGACCGCGAGAAAGATGCAGGGGACCTAGTCTGGAGTGACCGAAGAAGGTTTGTGACCGCAGACTTTTCAAATGACGGGTGTGGTTTGGGGTGATGTGGGACGGTCGCACGTGATACCGCGCTTTGGCTTTGGCTCAACAATGTTAATGTTGACTTCAAACTTTGCAGTTGACTCAAAATTTGAACCGGAGCGTTCATGGACCCGGTATCCATATGTACTCCTCAAGCAATGAAGCATTCAAAATGACAACCAGATGCTTCAGCGTTCAACGTTCAACGACCAAGCGGTGGCTGTAAAGCGCTATGCTCCCTGCGTCATATCTGCTGCAATCACTATCGGAGAAATTTGCCAGTGCTATCTCTTTCTACATGATCCTTCAGAGCCTCTCCATGCTCGAAATTGGCCGCCGCCGCCCCTTGGACCACCATCTCGTAAAACATGTGCCTGTCCACTGCGCTCATGAACTTTGTATATACATAAGTGAGTGAGTACTCTTGTGCATAAGTCTAAAAAAATCCCTCGCAAATGTCCAGTACAATACGTGAACTTTAACAATCCTTTTTTACGAGTGTGAGGCTCAGTGGCTCGCCGCACGCTTCGCAGCTCCCGTCGGCCGATCAATCCGAATTGTCAGCACAAGAGCCGATTTCCGACGTCCAATTATCAACACCACTGTTGACGAGGGAGAACAAAAGAGGGCTTATTAGCCTGCGTAATCAGGGCTCCCGGACTCCAGGCGGGAACTAGCTGGCAAGTACTACGCCTCTCGCGCGACCCGAGTAGAGTTGTTGGCACGAACCGATGATCGACACATGATTGGTGGCAGTACATGCTATATCAGAGAATTCACAAACGCAAGTGACTCGACCTCCAGAGCCATTCGAACTACACGCTCGAACAGACAAGATCTTCAACGAGCTCGCCGTTCTCCAGGCTATAAATCCAAGGCACGTAGAGGTGTTATACAAACGGAATTCGACTCGAATACTCACCTACTTCCAAGGATTCCCATCAGCATGTCTTCCCCGCTCAGTCAAACACGCACGGCATATGGCCTAAGTCGGCTGCCTGAAAAAGAGGCACTGGTGCGAGAGTTTGTCGGGAAACCGCTGGAAGCTCTGCGGACTCCGGCGATGGTCATCGATCGAAGTGTCTTCCAATCCAATTGCGTCAAAATGCTCCAGAGCTCCGGTGACTGGGGTGCTGCGCTGCGGTGCCATCTCAAGACACACAAGGCGCGTTCTCTACACGCCTCCTTCAAACGCTTCGATGAGACGCTCACGCCGGTCTAGACGGCCGAGGGTGCGCGATTGCAACTCGATGGCAAGACCCATGCTGTGATCGTTTCTACATTGATGGAAGCTTGGAACGTCGTCGAAGCTGGATTGGTCAAGGATGGGACGGTCAAAGATGTGCGTCGATCTTTCCGGGTTTTGTGATCGTGGCTCAACATCTCGCGTCAGCTTCTCTACGGATTGCCCGTTGGTCTGAACAAGGTGGCTGATCTCTCAGATCTCTGGGATGAGTTTGCCAAGTACGATGGTGTCGTACGCCTCATAGTGGATCATGAGGATCAGATCAAGTTTCTCGAGAAGTTTGAAAAAGACCGCGCCTCACCTCGGAAGTGGTCGGTGTTTGTGAAGATCGACGGAGGTCAAAAGTGGGTACCCATCATTCGATAATGGCTTTGATTAGCATCAACAGGATCCAGACGCGCAGGACTGTCCATGTCGACGCCGAGGTTCGAGTCGTTTCTCAAGGCGGCGTTCGACTCTCCCTCGGTGTCTGTGTATGGATTTTACATCCACGCCGGTAACTCCTATGGCTCGACGAACGCCGCGGAGGCGGAGTCGTTCCTGTCCTCAGAAATTCATGCAGTCAACGATGCGGCGAAGATCGCGCTTCCTCTTTTAGCTGCGTCGTCTAATGCCGAGGCGCACAACCAACCGTTCGTTCTCTCGGTCGGATCGACTCCGACTGCGCACGCGGCGACTGTAGAGGCCCGGGGAGCTCTTTCTACGCTCCTGAATGGGACGCTGGAGCTTCACGCAGGCGTGTACCTTTGTCGGATCCATGGCCGCAGCTCACATACATGCAGGCAACTATCCGATGAATGACCTGCAGCAGAAACACACATCGCTTGTCTCCGATGATCGGATTGCTCACAAAGTTCTCGCAACTGTCATTTCCCTCTATCCAGGTCGTGGAGTCGATGGAACGGACGAGGCCATGTGCGACGCGGGTGGTATCGCAATGAGCAAAGACACAGGCCCTAGCGGGGGTTACGGCGACGTCGTGGGAAAGACGTGGAAGCTCAGCCGCATCTCCCAAGAGCATGGAATCCTAGTTCCGACTGCACCGCAACCTTCCACTCTCGCGCTTGGTGAGATTGTAGAGATTGTCGGGCAGCATGCGTGCTTGATTGCAGCTGCTTATCCATGGTATTACATTGTCGAGAACGGCGGCAGGACCGTCGTAGACGTGTGGGTTCCTTGGAAGGGGTGGTAGTTATTCTTCGAATTGTCATGCTTTCCAGACATCAGATCGCCGTGCTCTTGTCGGCGCGTCAATGTCAGTCATGTGATCGCGCAACAACCCGCATGTCAGTTTCCAATCCAATTATCAAAGCCCGAGGCATCAATCACATCACCTTATGTTGCCAGCTGGAATGCGATGATTCTTACAGGTCGTACAGCTTACTGACTCAAGGAATGAACGGCTGGACGTAAAAGCGAAAGAAATGTCACATTGCAGGGAACGGTACATGAATCGATCCTTTTCGATTATGCATGTGCTTGCCAGATTTCTCATGGCATGCCACTAGAAGATTGGGCAAGAGAGAGAGTGCAACGCTGCACAGCAGCGCTGGCGAACGACGAACCCCCGAGCTCCACACGCGCTTCGCGATCGGTCATACACTGGAGTATATGCGACACATCCTACGACATTCCGCCCGCGTTCAAGCGTGCTGTGAGATCGGAGCACCTCTACGCCGGTCGCGCAACGGGGAGATTTGCCGTTGACTGCCGACCTTGGTATTTTAAAACCTGATTTCCGGTCTTGACTTGGAAATCGACTGCCTCTGGCATTGAGACAGGAACGAACACCTGGGTGGGGTGCCTGGAAACTCAATCTTGACAGGGCACATGAATCTGTCATTGAGGGCTCAGCAGGCGGACAGGTAGCATGAATTCTGGATCACTGAGAAGAGACACCGCCATCGAGAATGAGTGAAGCACCTCAGCATGCCGTTTAGCGAGAATAGATATGACGGCACTCGCCTCGAACGGTGGGCGCTGATGAAGGTGCTAAATCCCCCTCCCCTAGCTTGTGTACTCGTCTCGGAGAAAAGCCTAGGCCCTGGATATCGGGGTTTGATTGAACAGATCCTGCAGCGCCCTTCGAGCTGGAGAGGATCCTTGGGAGGGTGGTGCTTGGGAGTACAAGCTGCACGGGGTGCCACATGAGATACAGAGACTCGCATCATGCACATGCTATGGATTAGAAGCCGAAGTAAATCACAGGACATACATGAGCTAAGCCATAAATTCATGGGCCGATGTCCCTGGGCTAAGATTGTTGCATGGTTCGACGAACTCTGCAGTTCCAGACAGCTCGCTTATACATAAGCCGGCCAATAGCAAACGACCATTCGTGGGTAGCAACCAGATATGATGAAGAGTTGTTCAACGAATCCTGGATAAAGTGGGCGTGCTGAAGTTGAGCGAACCTCGGGAAACATGGATGACGTGACAAAGAATCGTCACCTCACGTTACCGTGTCAACATTGATGCAGACGACAAACAATCTTGTTTGCATTTCGTCAACCAGCCTGCACCCCACCAGCATGTTCAGCAGTTCTCCCAGACCCCCGGTCGCGTCCCCCGCGTCGCGCTACACGTCTCCTGCCCTCTCCTCCCGCTACTCCACCCCTGCAATTGCGTCGCGCTACACTTCGCCCAACACACCTTCCACTCCTTCATCATACGCGCCGGCTACCCCAGACAACTATCGCTTGAAGCGCCTCAGCTTCTCTCCCGAACTGCTCAAGTCTGATTCCTCCCGCAACTGGCGCTCTCGTGCATCCCGAAATGGAATCCGCGTCGAAGAGGATGAAGACGTCGATAGCGATGTCGACGCGTCGTTCGATGGCCCGTTGCTTCCCCCGTTCTTGACTGCCCCGCGTCGTCGCGCGCTATCGTACGCGTCAGAAAACCTGCCTCAAACTCCACCTCGCAACCCGCAGCTTGCGGCGCATTTACGCTTCAAAGGAAGCGTCACTGCGCCTGCCCATGAAAGACGTGCATTTGGTCTGAAATCTAATCTCCCCGACGTAGACGAAATGCATGAGGGCTTCCACTGCGAATCCATCTACGATGACGACGAACAGGATCCTGAGCCGCCCCGGTCGTATACCCATTGTTCCTCGTGTGCTGTCGCCTCCAAACAGCTCGCGTTGCTGACTCCATGCAGTCATGCACTGTGTCCTGCTTGTCTCACCTCCGCTCTGAACATCGTCGATCAGCTGTCGATGTGCTGTGTTGTTTGTAGAGCGACTGTCGTGACATTTGGTCTCGTCCGCCCTCCCTCTGCTCCAGAACTCGAAGACAGCTTCCTGCGCCCCTTCTCTCCTCCCTCCACTCCATGTGCAGCCGAAGATCCCGTCGTGCTTCGTATCGATAATGTCCCTTGGGATATTACTCCTCCCGCCATTCTCGAATTCCTTGGCATGTCTCGGGAAAACGGCGCGCGCGCATATGTCCTCCTGGATCGTTTGGGAAAGACACTTTCGCACGCATTTGTTGAGCTTCCGAACGAGATGGTTGCTCGTTCCGTGCTCCGAGGGGAAAATCGTGCCGCCCCAGTGCTTGGCTCTGGTCGCCGGGCTCGAGCGGTGACCCTCACGCGCTCTTCCCAATCAGCGCTCATGACATCTATATTTCCATCTTGGGCTGGAGCTTTCGATGGACCGGCACCCTCATTGGCTGGTGTCGCTGGCTCGTCCGTACCTGACGCTCTGGAAGGTGGACTCATGCGCGAGACCGAACTCACCGACCTCTTGTGGCTTATGAGGAGCCAGGATGCGCGCTTCGTGAAGGTGCCTGCCCTTCCCTTCTACGCTTTGATTGGTATCTTGGCCAAGTTCCCTACCGACCGAGACAGCCGCGTGTTTTGGACCGTTGCGCTGCGTGATTTGCTCTATGACGTGACATTTGCTGCCATCCAAACGCTCCGAGGACGTCCACCCAGCCAAGAGAACACGGATGTGATCAAGGACATGGTAGATACCGCCCTGAGATGCCATGGTGAGTTGCACAATGTATGCGCGCCGTTCTTGTTTGACCAGGTCCAGCCTTCACTGATCAACAATTGCGGGGCATTTCGGAATTCGAATTCCAAGGATATTCTTGCCCGAATGCCGATGAAGTTGAAGAACAAGATTTCCATCAGGCTCACTACAACCAATCCCAATCCCAATGTCAGGCATTCGCGCCCCCTGCTTCGCCAGCCGTTGTTTACGAGCGACTCTCTCTTCCGTCGCCTCCTCCCATGGAATCATCGCTCACTCCCCGTCCGAAAGAGACAGATCTGGATGGCAAGGATACTGGTACGCGCATGAGTGAGCTGGCGCGCGAGTTTGGCGTGGAACGCGAACTGGTCGAGGCGCTCGTTTTGCGTCTCGGGATCAGCACCTAATTGAAAGCCGCTCATGACCTGTACATCACCGACCAAAAGCTCTCGTACTGCTACGTTTCTTGCTCTCCCCGAGGATCCCATCACTTCTTCACATTCATGTTTCCATCGTCTTCCACAAACACATCGGATTGCTACTGTCTCAGAGATGCAACGCTCGCTTTTGAGCACTTTATGCGGTTTATAATTCAAAGATTCTGTATAGATAATGAGTTTATGAAATTTAATCAAGTATTGCTACGCAGACAAGCGACAGTCTTCTAACAGAATGCGAGCATCAACTCGCGTCGATTTGGGTTTCAAATGTGTCACTGCAGGCAGGTTCACACTTGGAAGCGAGCACAGTCCCTGCGAGCTGTCAAATCCCTGTCCGTCTCTTTCTTCCGGGAGTTGTCGACGCGACCAGTCACATGTGACAATCGTGCCTCCTCCGTTCTCTATATCTCATGTCTTATGGCAACTCAAATCCTGCAAGTCGTAAAACCCAAATCTTACAGGACTCGATACCCGCGTAAACTCGCCGGGAAACCTCTCCTCTATATCGCGAGCGGTCTCGCCTCTCTGGGCGACGCGCTTCTCGGCTATTCGCAAGGCATCACGGCGGGTTTCCAAGTCCAACCTACCTTCATTTACCGCATATACGGCGAGACAGTAACTCACAGCCAAATCAGCACCGGCACGACCCACGTCGATCCACGCCTACCTGGTGCGTCATGGGTGGCGCACATTCTGGCTCCTGGTGCACTCACATGCTCTTAGCCATCATCATCTGCTCACTTTGTTCCGCCGCGGTCGTGTCCTCTCTACTTTCGCCCTACGCATCCGACTTTCTAGGAAGGCGCCAGGCCATGCAGATCGGAGCGGTCTTGTATCTCATCTCCTGTGCGTGTACAGAGCCGCCGCGACTGTCATCATTGCCTGGGCCAGTATTGTACTGAACTCGAAGCAGCATGTGTGCAGATGATAGCCCCCGACTTCACGACACTCGTTGTGGGGAGAGCCATCCAGGGCCTTGCTGCGGGGATGATCAGCACGACGTCGGCTGTGTATCAAGTCGAAATATCGCCGGCTGGGTCTCGAGGCATGCTCACTGGTCTGGAAGCACTGTGCATGAACGCCGGGTATGCGGCTGCGTCCTGGGTTGCGTATGCGTTTTTCGTGGACTCCAAGGCCGACCATGCCTGGCGGGGACCGTTCGCAGTGCAGGCCGTCGTCTCGCTCGTGCTTCTTGTAGGGTCCTTCTTTCTCCCTGAATCTCCTCGATGGCTTCTTCAAAAAGGATTTCTCACAGAAGGACTGTGGACCCTTGCCGACCTTCACGCTGGGGGCGACGTCACTGACGAAGGCGTCAATCGTACCTACCATGCTATTGTCGCGACATTGAAACTCGACGACGCGGCTCGCGGAAGTCGCCTTGGTGCTTGGCGGGACTTCAAGAACTACCCTCGGCGCACGCGGATAACTATCACCTCAAGGATGTTCGCCCAAAGCAACGGCATCAATGCGATACTGCACTTTCTTCCTGAGCATCTTGCCCACGCGGGATACCCTATCCGGCGATCCTTGTTCTATGCTGGGGTCTGTTCGCTGTTCTACAGTCTTGGACCGCTTCCTGCCATTCTTTTTGTCGACAAAGTTGGCCGGCGACGTTTTCTCATCGCTGGTAGCATGGCACTGGCTTGTTCTCTGGTCATTCTGGGATGCCTGCAACTCTACATAAGACGATGGCCCGCACTCCATGATCTGAGCGGTGCTCGCGGCGTTGTATTCGGGGTGAGCTTATATCTGTTCTTCTTTGGTGCAACGTGCGTCCTCCCTCTATTTCTGGCGAGCGACGTTGAACGACGAGCAGATGGGGTCCTGTCCCTTGGCTGATCAGCGCCGAGCTCTTTCCTCTCCGAATGCGGGCGAAGGGCATGGCGATCTCTACTGCTTCGGACTGGGCCTTTGAAGGTGTTGTGGGCATCGCTACTCCGCCACTCCTCATCAAATTCGGAGGCATATATTACTTTGTGCTCGCTGGTGCTTGTGTGTTCTCTGGATTCGTCGTCTGGTGGATCTATGTCGAGACCTGTGGCAGCCCTCTGGAGGTCATCGGCGGGATGTTCGGAGATGCGCTTCCATCTCAAAATCAGATCGACCAGGAGGACCCCGTGCTGCACGTCCAGCGCACACGGTTGCGTCTCCGGTCTGTGCTCAGTATGCCTGAGATTGCGACCCGGTCGACGGCTGTTGCAAGTCACACGGGCACATCCCAGATTACTCTTGCAGTAGTGCAGGAGGACGGCATCGGCGGGAAAGATGCGGAAAAGAACGTATAGCAACATCAAACATCCCCGTGCATATTCACTGTGTCTCATAGCTATCCTATCACCTCACTGTATAATACCCTCTCATCTCATTCCCATCATAATGTGCTATCACTGGACCGATTTGAAGCGCGAAAGGAACAGGGTGTACAGTAAGTGACTGACAAAGCGGTGAGAAGTATAACATGCACATCATAAGATTTTGCGAATCCATTCGTGAGGCGAGTGGAAGATATGACCGCGCTCTTTCCTCAAATAAGCGAGATATACGATCGCCCCAGACGAAACACTGAGGAAGGAGACGAGCCCGGCCCACTGGAATTGAGACGGTCTCCAAAGTATCATGGTCAAGATGTATCTTGGGCGTGGCCCCATTAGCCTCTCACCTACGCAGAAAGACCAAGTGAAGTGACTCACTTGAGTAGATCTGCTACGTTCTGCATGGTGAACTGTATTGCAGTCAATGTATTCCGTCGCGCATTGGAGCTGAGGGCTTCTTGCAGCTGCTTGGTCTGGATCAGGTCGAACGACCACAACCCGATCCGAGACAAGGCCATGCCTGAATATGTTTCGGTTGGTTGTGAGGATGTGATGGTCGTTTATAGAACACGGCAGTTGCGAACCTCCAAAGAGCAGAGAAGCACCGACAGCCGTCCGAGGACCGAATATGTAGAAGGACGCCATGACTGGGAGGAGACACACCACCATAGACCTACCAGGCGATATATCAGCGATACAGAAGACGCAGACAACATCGACTTGCCAGATACTCCAGCTCCCTGCGCGAGCAGATCCAAGTTTCTGCTCCAAAGGAACTGTGATAAATGTCCCCAGAAGTCCTGTGACGACACAGAGACCACGCATTTCGGCCAGAAAGTCGTCGCGGAAGTCGAGTGTTTTGAGGTATCCGAGCATGGTCCCTTCGAAGCTGGCGATCATCGAGTCAGCTGGGCGGTAGTGAAGGGACATCCGGTGGATACTCACGACAGAACGGTGAGGTACAGCAGTGAAATAGACACCGAGGAAAGAAACACAGGGAGTCTGACGAATTCTTGCCATGCTGCAGAGTGTGTCATTGACGATGGCGGGGATCCATGTGCGGACGATGGGGATGAGGTCTCAATCACAGAAGCAGCGGAAACAGCATATTTTCTTTGTTGCTCAGCCTCGAGTGACGGGAAGGAGTCGTATACGATGCGGATCCAGTGCAGCTCGAAAACAGCAGTCACGACAGTGAGAGCCATGAGTGCAAAGACAGAGACAAGGCTATGGTCATTAGCTGCGTCTCCGTCACGGTCGTAGTTCACAGTAAGGAAAGACACGAATAGAGGTGCAAGAAGTTTGGAAAGAAGGTTGATTTGCCTCATGTACGTATTGAGCTGGCCGAGCTGGACAGAAGATTCATCCGAGATGCACGCAGTCCAGTCGCGTTCAACAGCGATAGTAACGCAGGTGTTCGAGAAGCGAAGTAGACAACCGAAAAGCACCAAGACGATGAAGACGGCCCAGGAGCCCGCAGATGAACGACAATCCCAGGCGCGCATCATTGCGACACAACCGTAGGCACCAAGACACGAGAGCTTTTGGGCGAGAATCGACCACCAGACGACAGAAAGTTTGGGATTCAGGTCCACAATAGACCCTGCCCATCTCGAAAATAAGATTCCCGTTACTGCAATCTCATTATGAGTGGACGCGAGTATAACACAACCGACTCGGAAGCCTACACGTCATGGCAAACCCGAATATGGAGGACGGAAGTAGGGTGTCTTGGAAGCAAATTATCAAGTACAGATAGAGCGCGAATTCAGCGGTTCTATCTCCCCAGGCACTGTGACGGGGTCAGGCAGTCAGCATCAAACGAGGGCGTGGTGCAACTGACCTTGAGAAGTGTTGAATGAGAAGGTATCTAAGGCCACGGGCATCTAAGGAGGACTCTTCAGATAATAGCAAAGGTGTCGACTCCGATTCCATGGACAGTAGAGGATGCCTTGCAAGCAGCAAGAACTGAAGCAGGTTCACATTTCAGCCTGGTCTCGGCCCGCGTTTCCCGATATAGCCGTGCTCTGCCATGCTCCCGTGTATCGCTTTTGCATTTGTTGGTCAGCATCGTGATCGTGGGACCGGGTGGATACCTCAATTTTCACAGCCCTTGGTTTCGACCATCACATAGACGACCCACTTTCTTCTTAAAAAAACTCTCTCTTTCCGTTTTTCATCGTAATATGTCAAATGGAACTGTAAATGCAACGACGGGGATTGAATCCCGTTTCGGTGCGTCGACTTTCAGGGCTAAGCAGCTGCCCGGGGCGTTCGCTGACTGGCTTCCTCTTTTTTTTCGCAGCTGATCTTGGCTTGAACAAGTCCGCTTATGTTCCTCCGCACATGCGGAATACGCAGCAGCGGGCTGCTTCTTCCCCTTCTTCCCCTTCCCCTGCTCAAGGGTGAGTCTTTGTGTGACCCTAGCTTATCGCCCGCCTCACAACCCTGATAGGAACGGCTGGGCTGATTCCCGCTCCTCGACCCCGTCTGCCCGGGGCAGCTTCGGTGGATCGAACGGCTATGGAAGCCGCACGACCTCTTTCAACAATTCTCGCGGAGGAGGCAACTGGGGTGGCAACCAGAGTCGCGGCGACTGGAACTCCCAGTCCGCCCCCCAGCAACGGGACAACTTTGGATACGGCTACTGGAAGGACGGCAAGCATGTCGTCGGCCAGCGCAACATGCGCATGGAGAAGGAGCTCTACGGCGAGCCGGACGACCCCTCCAAGCAGCACACCGGTATCAACTTCGAAAAGTATGATGACATTCCAGTGGAGGCGACCGGATCCCGAGTTCCGGAGCCGGTCAACGAGTTTGCCTCCCCTCCTCTCGACCCGGTCCTTCTCGAGAACATCGGTTATGCTCGCTACACCAACCCTACTCCGGTCCAAAAGTACTCTATCCCTATCGTGGCAAACAGCCGAGACTTGATGGCTTGCGCGCAGGTGTGTTTCGCTGCACATCGATCTCTCATCAGATTTAGGTTACTGATGGATATCTAGACTGGTTCCGGAAAGACCGGTGGATTTTTGTTCCCCATTCTCTCGGCCTCATTCACCGCTGGTCCTCGTCCTCCCCCTGAGCAGCCCCAGCAGAGCGGATACCGTGCCCGCAAGGCCTACCCCACTGCGCTTATTCTTGCTCCCACCCGTGAGCTCGTGTCGCAGATCCACGAGGAGGCCCGCAAGTTCGCTTATCGGTCCTGGGTTCGGCCCGCCGTCGTCTACGGTGGAGCAGACATCAACCAGCAGCTTCGCTTGATCGAGCGTGGTTGCGATCTGCTCAGTGCGACACCGGGTCGTCTGGTCGACTTGATCGAACGTGGCCGCATCAGTCTTGCCAATATCAAATACCTCGTGCTTGATGAGGCCGATCGTATGCTAGACATGGGTTTCGAGCCTCAAATCCGGCGCATCGTGCAAGGCGAAGACATGCCCGGCGTCCACGACCGTCAGACGCTCATGTTCAGTGCCACTTTCCCACGCGACATTCAGATGCTTGCCAAGGATTTCCTGAAGGACTACGTTTTCCTTAGTGTCGGGCGTGTCGGTAGTACCTCGGAGAATATCACGCAGAAGATCGAGTACGTCGAGGACCAGGACAAGCGCAGTGTCCTCCTCGATATCCTCGCATTGGACGGCAAGGACATTGGCCTGACCCTTATCTTCGTCGAGACGAAGCGGATGGCCGACATGCTGAGTGACTTCCTGATGAACAACAACATCGCCGCGACCTCGATCCACGGTGACCGCACCCAGCGCGAGCGTGAGATGGCTCTGCAGACCTTCCGTAACGGCCGCACTCCCATCCTGGTTGCCACTGCTGTCGCCGCTCGTGGTTTGGACATCCCCAACGTGACCCACGTGGTGAACTACGATCTGCCCAGCGACATCGACGACTACGTGCACCGAATTGGTCGTACCGGTCGTGCGGGCAACACCGGTGAAAGCACGGCCTTCTTCAACCGCAACAACAGGAACATCGTGCGGGACCTGGTCGAGCTCCTGCGTGAGGCCAACCAAGATATTCCGGCCTGGCTAGAGGCGATCGCACACGAGGCCTCGTTCGGTGGTGGCTCTTACCGTGGCCGAGGCCGTGGTGGATCACGCGGTTCTAGCCGCGGCGGTCGCGACTACCGGACTGGTGGAGGTGGAGGTGGAAACTACAGCAGTGGCGGCGGCGGAGGTTACGGTGGACGCGCTTCATCGTACGGAGGTGCCTCTGCCTATGGCGGAGGAGGAGGTGGTGGAGGCTTTGGCGGCAACTCTGGCGGCAGCGGCGGAGGTTGGTGGTAGACGTCGACCGCAACACTCGACTGTCGCCAAACCCCACCACGACCTACATGCCTTTTTTCCTCCATGTCTTATGCCTTCGCCCTCTACAGAACTTCCACTCAGAAAATTCAAAAAACACATACATAACGATCCTGCGTTTGGACCCACAACACGATCATGCCTGGTGCGCTACTTGTCACGTCTCGTCTCGACTATTGTTTCCTTGGAAGCTGTCCTCTCCTTCTCATCGTCTGCCCGCTACTTTATATGCACTCTAATCCTGCGATTGGACTACTGGGCGATATTTGGAGCACTTGCCAGCCTGGCCAAGAGTCTGGCGTCAGTCATCGCGATACAACTTACCTTTGCTTACTGCTTTTGCTATACCCCAGATGTATTGCACTGTAGACTGATTCCCAACCACTCATAGACACGAACCGATACGAGACATTTCCATATTGCATTATACTAGTAGAGCATCTCACGCATAGCACCATCTTGTACTTTTAGGTCCACACGCATTTCTTCTCTTCTGTAGCAGGGTGTACTATACATGTTTTATAATCCATCCGATTCGTTTTCAATTCAGTAATTTGCAAGAACCGGCGCCTGCTTAATCCATACCCCAGCCTCCAACTCGTCCAACACCCAGTTTGCTATGCTACGCCGGCTGACCTGCAGACCACCCTGGAACTCCGGGCCCAACAACCCCACTGCCAGCGGCAAATCCGCATCCTCGTCAGTCAGAGTAGGCACCCTGAACACCGTCCAGTCGAGGTCATCGGCACGCGCCACCGTCTGCGCTATCTCGACCATCTCCGCATTTCCCTGCGGCGCCGCGATCTTGGGAAACATCCCGTAGAGCGACCATTTCAATGGGAACAGCTCCGTGGCGGGCGGGGGCGGCGCGAAGGAGGGCGTCGAGAGCACGAGGATGCGCCGCACGCCCGATTCGCGCATGATGGAAAGGATCGTCGGGAAGCTGTCCGCGATGGGCTGCCGCATCGTCAGTCCCATTGAACGAGCAGTAGTGTCACGCAAGGCCCGATGCTCCAGCACTAGACATGCGGGCAGACGCTCACCGTGGTCTTGGCCCGGAGGAGGAACGCGCTGAGGGAAACATACGCCCCGAGGAAACTGACAACTGCGTCCACGCCGCCAGACACAGCTTCGCGCAGCATGTTCTCATCTGTGAGACCGCCTTCAACGATCCGCACGCGTTTTTCTTCGTCTGGGGACAGTTCCAGCTTGGCGCGCGAGCGGACGTAGAGCGTGAGCGCTGGAGGATCCGATCGCGCGAGAGCGATGCGAGTGAATGTACGCCCAGTTGCGCCTGTTGCACCCAAGACAAGAATGTGGCGTGCCATGGCTTCCGGAGGGCCCAGAGAGGGCCGCCGCCGAGTTTAAAAGCCCCAGCATACACCGAAGCGTTCGGTCTCACTCATCAGGGGCTGATTAGAGATTGGTGAGCGTTCTCGACTAATTCTGCAAAGGGAGGTCGCGTATCAGTAATCTTGAAGCGGGGAACTGGACAGAAGAAGCGAAGCCCACTGATGAATAGCTTGAAGTGTCGGAAACGATTGTGACAGACTGTGACTGGACGCGTTTAGACTCATCTCCCGCACGTCGGCCCCTTCTGTGGACCACACATCAGGAAATAATGTATACCCTCTCCCAGAGAACGCAATCGCAATATCGCCCAAGGCAACAGACAATCATCTATGCAAATCAACATTGATTCCGTTGCGAACAGGGCAGACATTAGAGCTGTTCAGCAGAACCAAAAAATCAATTTGTTTTTTACGAGTTTCCTGGTTGTGGAGTAGACTTTACTTCCCAATTACGTAGGTGTGGAGTGTCGTAGGAATCGCACCGAGGCCGAATTCTGACCGAAAAGGAAACATGCCACCGAAGACGGATCTGATCATTCTGCACGTGTAGGCAGATTGAATGCATCGTTGTCCTCCATATTGGCGAGAAGACCGAGAACAACCGCGAGGGTTCAATTTACAGTGTTAGTGAGGAAAGATGGCATCCTCCGCCATGGAGTTTGAGTTCAGATGAGGACAGAAAATGAAGTGGTGGTTTGGCGGCTCGGCTCATCACATGATCATGGTAACGGAGTTCCCGGCGTTCATCCGGTATTGTTTGCAACTCAGATTTTCCTAAGCTCCACTCATATTTTACAAACTACTAGCTAAAAATCGTGTTTGAAACGACTGCTGAACAGCTCTATTTATGTAACATTATTTAACAACAAATCCAGTAGTCGTCAGTAAAAAAGAATAACGATCAGAACGCGGGATGCATCGCCAGCAATGCACGACGCGTCTAGCTGGTCACCGGGAGAGTGCTCCACGTACAGAACTGGCCTGGACTGGCATCCCCCGCATAAACAGTCTAATCGCTGTGCAGTGCAAAAAGCACAGCCGGATAAGAAGCACACAACCAGCCGGCGCTATATGCGTAGGCCAGACTGCGTCTACCAGTTGTTGAACTGCCAGGTGACGCTAGTGCGCCCAAGTGCCGGATCCGCAAGAGCCGCAAATGCAGCAGGCGTGAGATCGATGTCGTTGGGTTTGCAGCCAACGCATCGGTCGACGATTCGCACTTGAATGCTCTTGCTGCCGTGTGTGACGGTAGCAGTGAGGGGAACGTGGCACTGCACGTCGGCGGATCCGACGCAGTTGATCAGTCCGTCTCCGCCGACCTGAGCGAACCCAGGGACGGAAGACTTGATTGTGGTGGCCATCAGGCCCTGGGCGGTGAGGGCCTGACGACCGGGGACGAAAGGACCGCAAATGGGGTTACTGCACATGGTCAAAAAAGGGAATGATGTCAGCAGAGTGGAACGAACCGGTTCTGGGCACTGCCGTCAGCTCCTGGCCATGCGTCAAAGACGATCTCAGAGACAGCGGCGGTGAAAGACTCGTTGTCGTAGACGTCACCGCATGCTCCAAGACCTTGACCACTGGGTGACATGTCAGATCTGTATCAAGCGCAGCCGCACAAGGCGGTGAAGATTCGCCGTCCCGAAGAGAAACTCACTAATAGGTCATGTCACCACCAGTCTTCACCTCTGTGAACAGCGAGTTGCCCGAGTTGTCCATAGCCTCAGAGAGGGCTTTGAGGTAGGGATCGGAGGATGTGGCGACGGTGTATGACGGCTTGGCCCCGGCCTGGGTAACGGAGGGCCAATCGGAGGGCTTGACGGGAGCAAATTGACCAGCGGGCCCAGCTACTGTCGGCAAAGCACCACTTCCCCCTGCCTGCTTGGCGACGGTAGTGGCGGCTTGTGTCGAGGTCGTGGTAGGGGTAGCTTTGGTGTGGGTGGCCTGCTTGGTAGTAGTGGTGCTCGTCTCCGTGGTGTGTGCGTCCGTGGTCGAAGTGGTGGTCGGCGAGCCGCCAACATTGACGATACCAGCGGCGGCAGCGGAGGAGGAGGTGGGGGCGGATGAGGAGGAGAGAGCGCTCGATGACTTCGCCTTGCAGGCGCGACGGCGTGAGGCCACGGAGCGTGTAGGCGTAGCTAGCTCAGATACTCCGGCAGAAGCACGGGGGTTGAGATGGCGGCGACGCATATTTGCGAGGTGGGCGCCATGGTTCTGAGAGGCCTCCGTGAGAACAAGGAGGGCCAGGAAGAGCACTGAGGAAGGGAGCTGGAAAAGCATCTTGGAGGAAGGAGAGTGGAGGTGGGTCGCAGCGGAAGCACAGGGAAGGGAGCGTGAGGCTACGGCACTCTTTATAGGCCTTTACGGAAATGAAGGGAGGAGGAAAGACAAAGAAAATCAGGACAGCGGCAAAGACATCAAAACACACTCGATCGGTGATTGATCGGCGGCCCAGGCTGCTCCTCTGGGGCTTACGTATACCATAAGCGCACTCCGCCCTCGTTCCCCTGTTGCCGGTCTCGGAATCGGGCCTACTACGGTCCACCGGAACCCTTGACCTGTAACCTTAATCAACACGTTGGTCTGAAATACCACCGTTGATATGTCGACCGCATCCTCATGTTCTCCTCCTTTTCTTTTCATACACACACGCACACAAGGCTGCCGCCTCGTGGTTACTCCACCCAGCATCCGGCGAAACGTATAAACCGCGGGTGGATCGCAGGCACGCCGCGAACGCGCGGTGCAGTGACGCACACGCGGGCTGCTGGCCGGCGTCATCGCATATGCCTGATCAATCTTCATCGATCGCACATACTTTCGTGCTCCAGTCCGAGTCCGAGTCCGAGTCCGAACCTCGAATTGGAGCGCAGGTGGGGCATCCCCTCACGGACGGGAGCGGCGCCAGTTATTCGCGGCAAAACTATTCGCAGAACGGGCATGCCGAGGCTCCTCTAGCGCCGATACAACGCTTGCAGGCGGAAACTAGACTTCAGAATCAAAGCCATTTCTGTACGTGGAGTGCCTGAAGCGTCGGTTCCATCCCCGCTGTTCCCGCCCCATCGGAATACGCGCCAAGATAGCAGGAGCTCGGGAAGTCCGAGCTGAACTGATTAGAAGCATGGGTACGCGTTTCTTGAGGTCATCTCGCGTCAGATCAGATTCTTACAGTAACTCAGTTAAGATGAAACCACCCGACCCTGCAGGTACAGTCCGATCCAAACTCACTCTATGTCTGTGGGAAATCGGCAGGCCAATGCGTTGTTCTTTTACCTACGCCCAGTGTCCTCGAGGGCCCTTCGAAAACGACTAGCGTGGTCTTTTTCGTTGTCTTCTTTCTCATGTCCACCGATCCCTGCTTCCATCGGGATCGCACAATGATAGTCAGGGAACGTTCGAGCGAGGTGTCGGATGTAACTTTGGATCAAGAACTCTCCGGCACCAGTGCGCCCGATGAAGTATCGAGTTGGGGGAGCTTGTCTCCTACTTTCGACGTCCTGCGAAAGGAGTGACAGAGCATCCATGAAAGGCGTCCGCGAGCTCAGGATGTTCCGGAATCCTCTTCGATGGAGTGGCCATGTGCTGACAGAAGCACCTCGTGGACTCAAGTGAGGATCGATGTCATACAGATTACTTATTGATACATAACGTATGTATGTAGTAAGAAATTGTCTAATAGATGGTCTATGCTTGCTTGACCTTGACCTCCTTCTTCTTCTTATCTTTCGGCACTCGCCAGAACCAGTAGAAAGCTAATGCGGCAGCAGCGTTGAAGAGGATGAAGACCCAAATGAGCCCAAAATTCCTCCAGCGTTCAGAGTACTGCGGCCGATTTAGAATATTATGGAGAGTCAAAGAGAAAAAGACGCACATGGATGTTGCTCGCCGCAAGGAAGACATTGGTGTCGGAGATGCTGCAGAACTCGCATGCACTGGTTGCATTCGGATTCATGACCTGCCCACCCGCAATCTGCATATAGGGCGCGAAGTATTGGCCGCAGTTCAAGCCAGCTGTCGGATCCACATGGAGCAGCTCTATGGGGGAACATGTGACATTGGTATTGGCTAGACCCGTCGCAAGCATGCCGCCGACGAAGTAGCTGAACGGCGAAACGCGGTACATCCAGATCTGCGCAGTCATAAGCAGAAGCCACGAAGAAGTACAGCGGACAAGATACGTACCCACCAGCCCAGGGTGCTCGGCGGAGCAAGCACACCACAGAAAAGAAGCGTGAGCGAGAACAGAAGATTGCCCATATTCCCTGCAGCCTCGGCAGTTTCATTGCCCGCCACGAGCCATTGTGACAGCTGAGCGACATTTAGAAAAGGAAGATCGCACGGAAAGATCAAACACATACCGTGCTCGTGAACAGCATGAACTGTAGCAGATACAGGAACATCAAAGCACCTCGCTCGTGGACTGCACCGGTCGGGACCGCATTGTTGTAGAGACCGATGGGGTAGTACCAGGTCACGAAGCTGAGCACCGCCGCAAGAGTTTGCCACGGCAGCTCCACGACGATTTGAGCCAGCATGAAGGCGACCCACGAGTAAGCCTTGGAAGGTCGCTCACGCGCTTCGTACAGGGCCCGCTGCTCGACGAAAAGCGGCATGATCTGCTGCGAAAGATTGCCGAACAACAGGAACAGCATAAACACAGCGAACTGCACATCCGTCAGCACAGAGCATGCGATATCTTGAGAACTGCCACTCACCAGCTGATCCTGCAGACCTTGCAAGTTGTTCTTGGAGCGGTAGAACGTGAATCCGATGAAGATAGAGCACAAGCCGACGAGCACGAGCTTCGAGTAGATGTATGACGGAGTCCGCCAGTATTGGAACCAGACACGTTTGAACACTTCGTTGAACTGGGTCCCGAGCGGGGTCGCGAACAGCTCGTAGCCCGCAGCGGAGTCGCCGCTGTCTTCGATCTGCGACAGCTCGGCAACCATCTGGTCAAACTCTTCCCGCACCTGGGCGCGTTCTTCGCTGGCCTTCCAGACCTCGGGCCAGTCTTGCGCAGACTTGTGGCCACGTGCGGCGCCGATGACTTCCAGCATCCATTCCGCGGGATTGGCCTCGGGGGGACAAGGACTTGCTCCGTACTTCTCAAAGTAGTTCGTCAGCACGCTCGAGTTTTCGCCGATCTCGCCAAAGTAAACCGTCCTGCCGCCACGAGCCAAGAAGAGCAGCCGATCAAATTCTTGCATGAGCACGGCACTCGCTGTAACAAATGTTCAATCGCTGTGCAGAAATGACATGGCAGGAGCACGAACGTTGATGGATGGTCGACAGGATGGCCTGACCGTGATTGGCAAGCTTGCGCATCAGTTGACAGATAGACCAGGCCGTTTGCGAGTCGAGACCACTCGTGGGCTCGTCGAAGAACACCAAGAGCTCCGGCTTGGCCACCAGTTCGACGGCGATGGTCAATCGCTTACGTTGCTCCACGTTCAGACCCTCGCCAGGGACACCGACCAGGGCAGCGGAATAGGACTCCATTTCCAACAGCTCGATGACCTCGTCCACGTACGCCAGCTTCTCAGCCTTGGGGATCGATTTATGCTGACGGAGCATGGCGCTGAATTCGAGCGCCTCCCGGACAGTAGAAGTAGCCAAGTGCAGATCTTGTTGTTGGACGTAGCCTGTCTTGCGCTGGAAAGACTGATCCCTTTCCCGGCCATTGACAAGCATCTCGCCCGACACGACTCCCATCGTAACACGAGTAGCGAGAACATCCAAGAGTGTCGTTTTCCCTGTAAAAAAGTCAATTTGACGCACACACAACGAACGCAAACACAAGACGCACCGGCACCACTGACTCCCATCAATGCAGTCAGCGTCCCGGGCTTGACCCAACCATCGACGTGATCCAACAACCGCCTGTCGGTGCCATCCTGTAGCTTGATGTCATAGCAGACGTCTTTCCACAAGAAGATCTTCTTCTGGGCGTGGATTTTCGGTTCCTCAGCGGACGACTTCCCGGCCTGCAGTCCAACCGTCTTCTCGCTCGAAGTCCCGTCCTCGGCATCAGCGGCCCGGCGTTTGGCAGGAAGATGCCCGCGGAGGAAGACCAGAATTTCGCCCTTGGATTTGAGCGCAGAGATGTACTCGGTGGTAAGCAGATGGACACCACAGAAGACAACCTACGGGACGGGACATTAGACCCTGAAGAACAGAAGGGGACGGAAAACCTACAATGAAGGCCAGAAGGATGCCAAAGTTGCGCCAGAGATGCCCGTGAACGTAACTGAACGAAGCCAGGAGGTAGTCTGAGCCCTCGACGTAAGGGAGCCCAGCGCGAGAGCCAGTGGTCGAACAGATTCGGTTGGCGTCCGAAACGTTGGCATACGCCGGACCTGCGGGCACAAAGTTGCCGCAAGGATAGCGCTGTCCAGAGAACTCGTTGACCATCACTGGTGGCACCATTAGTTCGAAACACAGTGAGATCAATGCAAGGTGAGACTCACATGCTTCGAATGCGTACCCGACCGGGTTGATATAATTGATCCAGCGAGACCAGCCATGCATGCTGGTCACCGGGATCGCAAAACCGGTGTACATGACCAGCCCGAGAATAAACAGGGCCGTGGGCGTCAGGGCCTGGATGAGAGACCGGGACATCGAGGCAATCGATCGGAAGATCATCGACATCACAAATGTACACGTAACCGAGAAGAGGTAGAAGATGAAGAACGCTCCAGGTTCTCGTCGAAGATTAGTCATGAAGTAAAGTGTAAGGTTGACGACTATGGCGGACTATAAGATCGCAGGCGCACATACGACATATAGAACATACCGGTGGCGGTAATCATTTTGACTGGAATGTCGCATATCATAGACGAGATGGCTTCCGCAAATCTGTTCCAAGTTCAGAACAGGAAATGGAAGCGGCAAGACGGCACCTACGGATGGTACAGAGCGTAGGCAGTGTGTTTCTCAACGATAGGTCGTTGGCCGTAAAGTGTGAAGATCTGAGCACAACATGAGCTGGAGCCAGAGCCGCTAGAGCGAGAGAGTGCTCACCTCGAGGGCGCTGGCGAATGCATTGATTAAGGTGGCGTAAAACAGAAGTGCTCCTCTGCTGTAAAAGCTGGATGTCTGGTCCGTGAGATTATAGAAGACGCTGGAGATGATGAGGGTCATTATAAAGTTGCCGAATACCTATCCAGGATGTCAATGATGAACGAAAGAATAGACCCTAAATGCACTCACTGTGGTGTAGAAAGTGGTCATATCTCCGCGTAAGCGTTGCCATCCGCGCTCCATACACAGCGCAATTTGCCGACGAACAGAGATGGTATAGGGAGAGCCCTGCCGGATCGACTTGGACTGCTGCATTCGCCGCGATGCTCTGAAACGGGCCAGCTGCTCGCCACCGAGCGGATACTCGGCATTGTAGGTTTCGATGTCGCGTAGGAGCGCTTGACGTTCCTCGCTCTCGTGCCAAACACGAGCAAAACCCTCGGCATCACGAGGAACCCGGGTCTCCCATCCGGGGGCAACGAGGCGTTCGGCGGGATTCGTCAAGGACGTCAAGAAGTCGCCGGTAGTCTGACGAGGAGCGCAGATGAACCCGCGGCTAGTCCAGAACTCTTTCGCGTCCTCAGTCGAGCCGAAGTAAATTTGTCGTCCTTCATAAAGCACGATGACTTTGTCAAACAGCTGCAGCAGGTGAGCACGGATACTCCGATGAATCTGTTAGTGACAAACATCATATGCGTCTTGAGATGCCTATACAAAAGGTGAGGTCACGAGGGCGGTACGATTTCCTCGACAACGCACCTGATAGATGGCGACGAGAGCGGTGGAGCCGGTGACTTGCGTGGAAAGTCGCAACGTCCGAATGAAGTCGAGCGCTGTTGCACTGTCGAGACCACGCGTGCTGTTATCCCAGCATTGAAGTGGGGATCCTAGATGACAGTTCAGAGCGAGGCGTACAAAGAGAGCGCGAGAACAGCGCATACCGCTCAGAGTCGTCTCGGAAATACTGACACGTTTGCGCTCGCCGCCACTCACCCCACGAACGAAATCGTTGCCCACCTTGGTGTTCAGCGTGTGACTGAGCCCAAAGATAGACATAACGAGATCCCGCAAGTGAACAGCATACGTCTCGCGCGAGACATCGCCGATGCGATTGCGAGGAACCCGAGCCTTGGCGGCGAACAAAAGAGTTTGTCCCACGGTCAAATGGGGGAAATGGACGTCCGTCTCCGCATTGTAGATGACTTCCCCGCGGAAGTCGTGGTGCATAATCTCCTTCGGGATTCCCTGATACTGGATGTCGGAGCTCTCCTCGACCGTGAAACCGTCGGTAAGGCCTAGAACGCGCATCAGACGATTGTGATTCATGCACGCGTGTGATGGTAGTAAACTGACCAGAGATGGTCTTCAGGAAGGTCGTGCAACCACTGTGGGGGAGTTGAGTAAACTCCAGAGGTGTAGAAGCACCCGCACGCACCTTCCTGGTCGCCCAAGCACGATCAACAGCTCTCCGGACTTAACCAAACCATCGAAATCTTGCAAGATTTCTAAAGCGCATGAGCACAGAAACAAAACAGAGACAGTGCCAAGGCTTACGGATCTTGCGCTTGCCGTTGTTGCCCAGACCAGTCCAACGGCGAACAGTCGATGCGACGCCCAACCAGACATTTGCAACAGTCTTCTGGTAATCCGTCGGACTACCCACGCCATGCACATTAAGGTCGCGGAACGAAACTCCAGCGGTTCGTGTCTGCAGAAGCGTGTGAGCAAGATGGGGATACAGTCATCAGGGCACGCACAGGGTAGTTTTCGGGGTCGCGAGAAACGATTAGCATCACAGACTTGAGCCAGGCTTGAATATCGAACTTCTCCGAAGCAGGATCGAGAGTTTCATCGCCGTTGTGGGGGTCGAATGGGTTCACGATGGTGGATGTGCTGCTCTCGGACTCGGACAAACGGGGGGGATGACGCTCCGTTTCAGAACGCGACATATGCCGTGCGAGAGCGGTCACGGTTTCCTTCTGTGCATCGCTGAGCTTGATGCTCCTGGGGGAGGATGGGGGCCCAGGATTCATAGTAGTGGAGAAAAGAGTAGGGTTGGGGACATACGATGTCCTGGGTGTTTTAAATCGGCGGCCCGGGTTGACATTTGTGATAGCAGCTGATGCGAGATCCCGATTCAAAAACAATCATCTTTGAGCGGTTATTTTATGGCCTTGGGCGGCATAGAGCGGGTCATCGGCGACATAATCCGGTGTAAAAAGGATGCCGAAGAGGTTCGGCACTCAGAATTACGTCCTTTTCTGACGTTCCCATAAGATCGTCGTGCGTGTTTTCAGGAAGAAGAGATCCAGGGGCCAGGCCCGTTGAGTCAGTTCCGTTGACGTGATAATGGTCCATGGCCCCGTTGATGGCCGTTGACACATATATTGACAACATCATTGATGCCACATGCCAAGCCCCGGAATCTTGGCATGAGCGATCACTAGCGATCAGCGATGCAAAATATGATGACGTCAACGGGCCTGTCTCTGCTCCTCATTCATTGTAGGATGTCGGACTACATCCGGCGGCTCGTCTCAGGCGACAAGGCACGTTTCAAGGATGACTCACTGGACCTCGAACTGGACCTGGTTTACCTCACCGATCGGGTCATCATCATGGGATACCCGGCCGACGGATTCGAAAGTCTCTACCGCAACAAAAGAGATGACGCGAAGCGCTTCTTGGAGCACCGACACGGCAAGAATTTCTGGGTCTTCAACTTCTGCCCATTACGGGAAAACTCGTATCCCGCAAGCTTCTTCGATGGGCGCGTCAGTCGATACCCGTTCCCCGACCATCAGTGGGTTTAATTCCGTGCGAATGTTGGATTCGGAGCGACAACGGAACATTCCAGCGCTCCACCTCTCGCGCTGTTACCTCTGGCTGCTCGGGAAATGACAGAATGGCTGGACGGGGCGCCTGAAAGAGTCATAGTTCTGCATTGCAAAGGTGAGTGTTCGAGATGGACGTGATCAGCAACATCCCACGGCATCTATCATTAGCGGGAAAAGGCCGATCAGGAACCCTCGCGTGCACATATCTCCTCGCCCAAGAAATGAGGCCCGATCGGCCTCAGTCGGGACTGAACAGATCCGATGTCGCAAGCAGAGATGAATGGGCAAAGCTGAAGACTAGCGAAGTCATCGAAGCCATCGAACAGGACAGGGAACCCGTCGTGATCGCACCGTCTTCGCCCTCATCCTCTATTCACTCAGTTCCTCAAAACACCAGCGAATCTCCTCAAGCATTCCCTGATGCGCTTCATCGCGTCCTTGACTTACACACGGCGCGGCGCATGAAGGCGCCACAGCAGGACGCGAATGGAAAACAGCTCAAGAAGGGGAAACAAGGTGTCAGCATCCCCAGTCAGCGCCGTTGGCTGTACTACTGGGCGCGTCTGCTCAGCGGGCAATCGCCAAATGGGTTCTGGAGTTTGCCTTCCTCCATCTCAGCCTCATCGCCTCCCCGACGTTCTCACGTCCGCATCAACTACATCACGGTGCGCATGTATGAGCCGACGAGTCTCCGACTCCGGATAGCCCGAACTGCGTCCGCTTTTATGGAACGCACGGCGAAGGGCAAAGCAAGAGCAGCACATGAGGAGACTACAGGCCCGGTGTGGATCTCTTTAGCCCGATACGATGACCAGTTCGTCGATCTGCTCGAACGGTGGGAAGCCCATACTCGCGACTCTCACTTTCTGGGCTGCAGGCGTCCAAACACAAGCTCCCTCGACGGCGAGTCTCTACGAGAAGCATTCGACGATCGGGGACGATGGGACAAAGGAAAGATGGTGCGGAGCTTCGCCAGGCTCGGAAGCGCGCAAGACTCGGTCACCAAAACCGACACACCGGCGAGTCGCATGGCCCTTGCGGCCTCATCTGCATGTGCTGATGACGCTACAGGAGGGCAAAGTGATGCAATATACATTACGCCCCTTGTCGGATACTGCCTGGGTCGACGTCCGCGCCGCCATCGCTGAGTCGGCCGTGGACGTCCCCGCGGACGGGCCCGACATTCCCGGCTCGGAGTTTAGCTCCATCCCTAGCGACAGTCCGCAGCCGCCGTCCTCCGAAGGTGTAGTGGTCGACGCTGACCGCGAGATTCGGGTGAAAGTCTACCTGGGCCAAGTGCGTTGTTGTTTTCTGCTCTCGTTCGACTCTCGTGCTGAGAGTAGCATTCAGATCTTTCTATGCTGGATCTGGCTGATCCCTTCGTTCCACCTCCCGCCTCCCTCCGAGCTGCCGGGTAGCACGAAGCTCAAGCTAACGCGCAAAGAAACAGATTTCCCGATTGGATTGGGCAGTACTCTCATCGACGTTGAAATCGACATGGAGTGGGTCGAGAATGGCGTTGTTAAAGCAACGGATTCGGGCGAAGATAGCGACGGGAACAAGGGCCTCACTCTCGCTACTGCGCTCGTTGGGAACGACATCCAATCCACCGTGCACATGGGACAAGCAACAGACTCGTAGACATTTCACGTTGATTGGTCATACATGGTTAGATAGATCCTTTAAGTTACAGCAAACACGGACGGCCGGGAATCACTCGCATGTGGAGGATTTCTTCTTGAACGATAGACCAGGGGGAATGCGTCGGTTTCCTGTGATCTCGCGGTTGCGCTCTTCGATCGAGCGGAAAGTGGGAAGCGTTCGGGGCGATTTGCGTCTCTCCTTGCGGTTCAACGCCTCTCTTCCGTGCAGCACAGACCAGAAGAGGTCGTCCGCGCCTTCACCCGTGATGTGAACTGGCAGCGGGGGCTGCTGCGGCGACGTGCATCGCTGCGAAGCCATGGACACACGGTTCCAACGCTCAAAAGGATTAGCGCACCCTGAGTTCGAATCTGCACATCTTGAACCCTGCCTTCCCTTCCTCCATCCATGCCTGCGATTCCCATGAGACGCACGAACCGGATTGAGCAGGAGAGACGCACTCGCACGACATCGTACAAACCGTCATAGCGGTATCTAGTTTCCGTCAGTCTCAGGCCATCGAAAGGCTACACCTGAATGTACCCCTGTCGCGGGCACCACGCATCATTCCCATCGGGGCCGCGTATCACGCGAACGGGATTGCCGTACGTCATATTGTTCTGTCCCAGCCGCAAGTTCAATGGTTGCGCGAGGTGGAAACATGGAGTGAGACCGCCGGCACTGACCTTGAGCGCTGCGTTGCGGGTAGAGTTCATATCCTGGTCGCCTAACTGAACGTTCTTGTTTTTGGGCTGTGGGAACTGTTCAGCGGCGCTGATCAAAGAAACCAGAATGGCTCAAGTACAGCAGTTTCTTTTGGACCCCCTGGTTCCGGTTTGCCTTTACCTAGGCGAATGAGCCCAAGTCCCACAACCAGACCCGAGACATCGAGCAACTAGTTAGTTACCTTCCCCGGTATAAATGCTATCAAGTCGACATCGTCAGACCCCCTTCGCACAGCGCAGCGCACACGCACATTCGGTCCCCCTCGTCAACATCGTCCTCATACGCAGAGTTGAGCACGATGGAGAACGCGCCCTGGTCGTGCTTCGTGCCGAAGATGCCGGACTCCTTGGTGCCGTGCAGGCCCGACTCGTACAGATCGGCGCGGTCAGCGAACATCAGCCCGACGGGGAGATCGACGTCCACGATGTCCCCGTACTGTCTCCTGCGAGTGCGCGACGTGTTAAGAGACTCTCTAGCAAGGAAATTGGACCGGGATGACTGACGGATTGGGTCGGACCATGAGCAGATGATCGACGAGTCGCGTGGGTGGTGGTGAGTAGGATGAAAGAGTCACTTTGCGCAAGTGGACAGCCACGACGCGTGCAGTCACATGTGACGCCAATTAGACACGCGTCGGAACGCGCTTACACGTATATTCAGCGCGAGCAATTAGAGAGAGGACCGCTGTGGTCTCTAGTTACACGGGATGTATGTTTATATGTGTGTGGGTGTATACGGTGTGTGTGTGTGTCTAAGATACAGTGAGAGAGGTGGTTAGCCAAGATAGGAAAGAAGACAAGTCCGAGTGTCCAGTCGCTATCGCCAGCGCGACCGGCAGAAAGATACAATGTTTTGTCGGACACCCTTCAAGGAACCTGTGGTCGGTCGGTCAGTCAGTGTGGAGCCGTCTCCGTTCCAGGAGACTAGACGCACCGAATACGATGGCGGGGGCCCACGCATTGGTGAGGAGCACCACATGCTGCGTGCCAAATGGCGTCGGTGTGCTGCGGTGCTTGGCCACATCGATTATCGTCGACAGGCTCACGAACATGATGAATATCGGGAAGGATCTGCGCAACTATCAGGGATCCGCTGGCGTATGTGTCTACTGCCGCGGGCACTCACATCTGGAAGACGATGAGCCGGTGGATCTGCGGCGTCACTTGCGGCACAACAGCCATGTGCGAGATATCTATCGCACACACACACACACACATTAGCACGCCCAGCGCCAGACTGCACGCCACTCACGAGTCGGGGTGGCCTCGCTGTCGATATAGCTGAGGTGGAAGGTCCCGTCGTCCTCCTGCGCCTGGTCGAGCGTCTTCAGGTCCTCCTGCGACCGGTCGTGCCCCGTGACGCTCGTCGTCGCAGACGAGACGTGTCCGTCGTCTTCCCAGGGTCCGAGATCGCGCGACAGACGGTCCTGCTCCTCGTCCCGACTCCGCGTCGGAAACAGCTTGTCCTTCGGGTCGATCATCGGCGCGAACGTCGGAAAGCTCGAGGACGCCACACTATCCGTGTCTCCATCAGCAGGCCGCGGTGACGGCGACGGCAGTGGAGGTGACGGGTGGCCCGAGAACGTCTTCATGCGCCGGAAGAACGGCAGATGGAAGCCCATCCGCTGGTGGCTCGCCTGGACCGGGAATCTGGGATGCACTAGCTGTCTCCCGGGAGACGGCGGGAACATCTCCTCCGAGGGACACGGCGATGTTGGGCTCGAGCCTTTCAGCCCGAGGTGACGGTGCTCCCGGCGCATCTGGCGAGGAAGCTCGTGGTCGTCCTGCCGCGCGCGCTCGACGTGCTTCAGCGTCCGGATGACCCGGCGGATGGAGATGACGGACAGAACCGCCGACGGGAAGATGAGCACCACGGGGATCGCATGTCCAGTCAGCCGCACCCTGGATGCGGTCAGATCGCGCTGAAGAAGTAACTCGCGATAGCACTCACCAGAGTGGATTGGTCGCGTCGCAGTACATGTCGTTTGCCGCCTGGATCGCATTCGTCTTAAACGCCAAGGCCAGTTGTATGCCGGACGCGGCCAGTGGGTAGATGATCACGGGCAGCACATAAATCGATCTCCATTTGAACGACCTAAACGCCAAGTCAGAAACCGTAACCGCGCGTCCATGACCGATCCGCACGTCTGTATATTGCCCCACTTCTTCGGCTTGAGGATGTGCAAGCTCGTCGCGATGCACAGGGCCATGCAGATGCCGCCGAGGAAGAACATGGACACCTCCATGACGAGTGTTTGCGCTGGGGGCCAGTCAGAACTCGCAAGGGCTGTGACTTCGCACAGGGATTTCCATACCGATGCAGAAGGCTCTGGGCATGCTCGACGGATCCATTCGCCATATCATGCCTGCCGAGGTTAATAACGCGTCGCATCGCAGGGCCGCGCGTGCGCACCTAGGCAGAACATCCCTTCATACATTGTCACTGCGATGCAGAAACACAACGGCGCCCAGGTCGTGCCCATCAGCGATCCAAGGGCCATGAAGGCCGCCCACGACAGCACCGTGCCTGCGGGGGTATTAGGCAGGCAAACGTTGAGGCGCATGAGGCGGCGCACCGAGGAGGCACAGTATGCACCACACCAGCTTGAGCGCAAAGGGAAGCATGGCACAATCAAGGGGACGAAGGGGCGCCTGGCCCACTGGCAGCCCAGACGGTCCTCGCTGCTGGACACCGGTGCACAGGAAGCCACAGCAGCGGCAGAAGCAGGAAGAGGGGGAGGAGGGGGTCGAGGGAGACGGATGCAAGGGCCCAGTGCCGCGGCCGAGGGTTTTTATTTAAGTACGTCCGAAGGACAATGGGCGTGCCAGTGCTTCTGACAGGGATCAGTGATTGGCGAGGCGCTTCGAACTTCGGACGGAGTCGAGAATGAAACCACGTTTTGAGCCGCCGGCAGATAAGCGCACTCTTCCCGAGCGAGCAGTGCCTGGCCGGGCAGGTAATCAGGATTCAGCAGACGGTGCACGGCGCTCGGTGGGTCGCTGGTGCACGCGTCTCGACACTTGTACCGGTGTTCGACGGGAGGAGAATTACGTGTCCTGCGCGGTTTTGGAATTTGATATTGCGGACACGCCGGAAGATAGCGTGATGAACCGACGTTCGCGCGCCCTCGCGACAGTTGGAATGAAATGAGCATGAATGCCGTCTCGATGACTTGGCGGATAGAGATGAGTACGTAAGGAATAGTCGTATGCAAGGGGTGCTTGATCGAGGCAAAGCCGTAGTTTGCTGCACAGGCACTGCGCCACTAGTGGGTAACATACAACGTGGCTAACCTGCGGAAGTCTAGATGATAGCATACGCTAGTTTATACTGCTACTACTAGTAATTGAAAACTCGAAAGCGGAGTCAGCCGTGGGAGTAGTATAGTGGGTGGTTGCCACAGCAACGACAGAGTCACGACCGACAGGGATCCGCACCTTGCCTGCAAGGGTCCAGGACAGGTTCAAGAATCAATATTCAATAATTCCAGACTCGAAGCTCGCAATGAGGCAGGCATGTCGAGCATCATGCATCTGGTCCCAACCAGCATGCAGGTTGGCAGTAACAAGTGAAGCGCCGTTCGAAAGGAATCAGAGATCAGCTGTTAGTCGGCACGTGATCGGTAGAAGGTCAAAGCGCTCATCACACTCAATGACATCATTATCATCATTCGTGTAGCCCAATTGACCGCGGCGATAAATGTGAGGTCAGTGAAGTCTAGCTCCCAGGGCGCCCTTCTGAGAAACTTGTTCCTTACGACGCACATGCGTCCTCGAGACTCGCTCTCATGCGAAGCCGTGGAAGTGGTCAGGCGACGGCCGAGGTCACTCGGCTATTCGGGGCTATCTCGGACCGACGTCCATCAGTCACGTGTCATCATCCCCGCATTGGGCAGACAGCGTCTAGACTTGGGAGTTCATAAGTGTGCAGTCTTGATCGGCGACTTCCATGCGCATCGGACTCCGGGACGCAAGCCCAAGAACAGAAAGGATCATCCATCCATTGCATAGCGACGAAAGTCTGCGCAGTGAGTCCACGCTCAAACGACGCGGTGTGTGTGACTCAAGTTGGCCCACAAGAGTTCCGTGCCAGATAATCCACCCGATTCAAAAGCCACACACAGTCAAGAAAACGAAGCCCGTGAGGTGGGCTCGCACATAGCTCATAACCAGTGGGCGAAACATATAAGCTGGGCAGCTCGGTCGTGCGCTCTTCACCCGAAACTACGATGTCTGGTGACAGTGCGGTCGAAGATCTCAACCCTGGCGGGCGTCAGGTCATTTTCGTGGGTGAGGATGCATGATTTTCCTGAGCTCTCCGCGGGCTGAAGACGTCTGGAGTCGGGCTAGGGATGGTCGGCGTCGGTCAGTGGTACCCGGCTAACGTCATTCGAATCCGAGTTGACGCCTCCACCGACAGCGTTCATCGAGAAACTTCTGGATCTGGACTCGGCTGCGAAGCGATATCTGGTGGTGACCTGTGGCGAAGAGCCCGTCTATGCGTATAATCGCGTTGGGTCAGCTGCACCAAGGATCGAACGTTCCAGCTGATTTCTGATCATGCTCTAGGCTGACCGAATACTTTGCTCATCGGAATGTGCGGCACGCCATGCGAACTGACTAAGTAGACGACCCGTGCTCACGCGACGAAACAGGTCGAGAATCTGTACATCCGGCCCCCGTCGTGGTATGCCGATCAGCAGCCCGATAGCTTCCGCTACTTCCTCGGCGAGACCGTGACGTCCATCAGCCCGGAGGAGCACATCGTCACGACGTCGAAGGGGCGCACGTTCAAGTACGACAAGTGCGTGCTTGCTACCGGCTCTAACGCCGGACTTCCCCCGTATGTCTCCCCCGACGAGATGCGGCGCACCAAAGGCGTGTTCGTGTACCGCAACATCTCGGACCTGGACGCCATCGTCGCGTACGCGGAGCAGGGCAGCGTCGAGCGGGCGCTCGTCGTCGGGGGCGGCCTGCTCGGTCTCGAGGCAGCGAAGGCTGTGTACGATCTGCCCAGGTAGATCCACGTCTCTCTCTTGCAGCCGAATTCATGACCCACCTTGGCTCCCAGTATACCACACGTGACCATCGTGCACCGGCAAGCGCATCTGCTCTCCCGGCAACTGGGCCCAGAAGCGGGGCTCATGGTCTTGCGGCGCGTGCAGGAAATGGGCGTCGAGGTGCTCGCTAACTGCACCCCGATCGGGCAGCTGAGCGAAGATGCCGCGTTTACCGGGCTCCAATTGCACGGCGGCGCGACCATCAAGGCAGGGCTGGTCGTGTACGCGATCGGCATTCACCCACGTGACGATCTGGCTGCGGAAAGCGGCATCCGCCGGGACAGTAAGGGCGGGATCGTCGTGGGCAACGACCTACAAACGACCGCGAAGGATGTGTTCGCCATTGGAGAATGTGCTAGCTGGCAGGGCCACACATATGGTCTCATCGGGCCAGGCAGTGCGTCCCCCCAACAAACACTCAGTCTTCGCTGTTTCATTGACTACCTTTGCAGTCGAAATGGCGGACATCCTTGCGTTCAATCTGACGCAGACCGACCAGCACGCGCCGCGCGAAATGAATGCGCCCGATCTGAGCACGAAGCTCAAGCTCATGGGGATCGACGTTGCGTCCTTCGGAGACTACTTCGTCGACACCAAGTCGATCGAGGAGCAACAGCGAGCCGTGGCCCGTGTCCTACCTGCGAAGCGGGGCCGGGCGGCTGTCAGCATTGCCATCGAACCGGACGACGGGCCCGCGAGCCCGATCCAGTGTCTGGTCTACAACGATCCATTCAGCTCGACGTACAAAAAGTACATATTCACCGCTGACGGCAAGTACCTGCTCGGCGGGCAGATGATAGGGGATGTGTCGGACTTTGCGAAGGTGGTCGCCATGGTCAAGAAGAAGGTGGGCGTACTCACCCAGCGCGTCTTCCGTTTCTTAATCGTGGTCTGCAGAAAGCTTTAGAGACTCCGCCGTCCCAACTGATCATCGGCAATAAAGGAGAAAGCTCGTCGGATGATCTTGACGACGACGCCCAAGTTTGCAGCTGCCACGTGCGTGATGTCTGCGAGTGTATCGGGCCTACAGACGGCTCATGGTTGAGTCTAGAACGTCGACAAGGGCCGACTGGTTCGCTCTGTGCGAGAAGGGTGTACGTCCCTCGCAGATATCAAACAGAAGACGAGAGCAGGCACAGGGTGCGGCGGATGTGTCCCACTCGCAAGTCATCTTTCCCCACTGTGCTGTACTAGCTGCGTGACTCGGGTTTCCAGGTCACCAGCATCCTCAACGCCGAGCTGAAGAAACTGGGCGTCGCGGTGAACAACAACCTGTGTCCTCATTTCGCCATGTCGCGCGCGGACTTGTTCGCCGTTGTCCGCGTGAAGCAGCTGCGCACCTTTGAAGAGGCGGTCGCGGCCTGCGGGGTCAGCAAGCAGTCGCTCGGCTGCGAGATCTGCAAGCCGACGATAGGCAGCATCCTCTCCAGTCTGTAAGCCGTCATATTACTACCTCCGGCGACTGTTTCTCTTTCTTAATCCCAACCAGGCACAACGAACACGTGATGGAGCCAGCGCACCACCAGAACCAGGACACCAACGACCGCTTCTTGGGGAACATCCAGCGGAACGGCACGTTCTCTGTCGTCCCACGGATCGCGGCGGGGGAAATCACGCCGGACGGGCTGATCGCCATCGGATCCGTCGCGAAGAAATATGGCCTGTACACAAAGGTGCGCGCTCTCCGCTTGGCTTTCGCTTCGAGCCACAGGCCGAACTGCACCCTGTGCAGATCACAGGCGGGCAGCGGATCGATCTGTTCGGCGCGCGCAAGGACGATCTGCCTGATATCTGGGAAGAGCTCAACAAGGCGGGATTCGAGAGCGGACATGCGTACGGGAAGGCGCTGAGGACGGTCAAGTCCTGCGTGGGAACCACGTGTAGATTCCCATCTTATCTTATCCTGCCGCTCAATTTCGCTGATGAGGATCTGCGCAGGGTGTCGGTTTGGGGTGGGCGATTCGGTGGCCATGGCCGTTCGGCTCGAGAATCGGTACAAAGGGATCCGCAGCCCGCATAAGTTCAAGGGCGGCGTGTCCGGCTGCGTGCGGGAGTGTGCGGAGGCGCAGAGCAAAGACTTTGGTGTCATCGCCACCGACAAAGGCTGGAACAGTGCGCGGACTCCGTATTTTTACATGGCCAGTGGCTGATTTAGTGGTCTACGCAGTCTTTGTCGGTGGAAACGGCGGAGCCACACCGGTGGGTGATCCTCCTGGGCTGCATCGCGTACGCACGGGCTGACTGACACCCGCGCGCACCAGCGACACGCGGATCTGTTTGCGAAGGACGTGCCTCCGAGCCAGGTCGTGCGGATCCTGGACCGGTATCTCGCATATTACATCATGACAGCCGACAGGCTGCAGCGCACGGCGCGGTGGATCGAGGCCATCGGGCTCGAGAAGCTGCGGAGCGTCGTGCTGCGGGACGAGCTGGGGATCTGCGCCGATCTGGAAAGCTTCATGGACGGCATGGTCGGCACTTACGTAGACGAGTGGGCGCAGGCGGTCCAGGGTTTGCAGCGTGCATTTCCGTTAAGGTCCGGTCCTGACGCTCGATGAGCAGACCCGGCCAAGCGCCAGAAGTTTAGGCAGTTTGTCAACACGGAGGAGCGGCTGCCATCTTCGGGAATGGTGCTTGAGCGCGGTCAGAAACGGCCTGCAGATTGGGCGGCGTCCTATCCTCCGTTTCTGCTCACCACGAACGATATCGCGACACCCAAATCCGAATGGCAATGGAAGAGTTTGCTGTCCAAGGCCGACCTGCGACCGACCAAAGCAGGGACCACCAGTGTTGTCGTCAAGTACGGCGAAACTCAGCTCGCTGTGTTCCATGTCGCAGACCGGGGCTACTTTGCTACACAACAGATGTAAGGACTAGCTGCTCGTGTGCTCTCTCCAGCCGTCCCTGATTGCTTCCTTCCCCAGGTGTCCTCACAAACGGTGGCTCCTGTTGCTATAGTATTAACCCTTGTATCGCTCACTCGCCATCTCAGGTCCTTTGTTCTCGATCAAGGAATTGTTGGAGAATCTCCAGCTGGCGAACCAGTATGTCTCCCCGCTTCTCTGCAAGCCTATCTTAGTCGTGCAACAGTACATCTCTTGCCCGATGCATAAACGCAACTACACTCTGGGAGCCGGCGACTGCCTGAAC